TTTTTTCCTTTTTTTTTTTGTTAGAATGACGGGACAATTGAGATGTTTGCTAATGGTGACTTTGTTACGTAGGAGAATATAGTACAATTTCAATGTCTATTAGGTTGATGCGTACGAAACATGAACATTTTTAAAGAAAACAGTATTTCATATGTATATCAACTGTATATGAAATCAATCGACAAATCATCTTGACATAAACTGGTGGCTTTAGAAGATATTTACAGGTAAATACCGGCGGAGATTCACCGAATGAAAAGTATAGAATAGTGCGTTAAGATTGTTGAATGTCGAGCGACGAGGGCAGACGGAGGAGCAACGTAGCGTTTAAGAAAAATGCAAAAGTCCCATGCAACTGTGGATGGGAGGTGAGATTCGGTTACGGTGTCGCGGTTACCTTGGCCATCTTCGAGGCTAAGCGTTTCTTCATGTTGATCCTGGAGATATTCGCCGAATGGCAGATCATTCGATTCGCGGGTGGTCTGCGGCCAGTCATATTTACCTTAGTAAACGTCAGCTTAGGTTTACCAACTGCTCTGTTCACGCTCCGTAGCGTACGATCGTAAGTATTCAATTCTTTCGGTGATATTCAATCCGCTTAATTAAATTTATCATCAGGCTTAGCTAAACTCCACTCCCATGGTTTCTTCCATTTTAGACGAAAAGCACCGCGTTGCTGCGCGAAAACGAGACGAACGTTGAAGTGCTTGTCAATGGTGATCGCGATATGCGCCATAACGAACGTAGCCACCCTAGCCTCCATAGGATATCACATAAGCGTCAGGGAAGAAACGTTAATCGACGTTTTCAACAGTTCGATGCACCTGTACGTGAGTGCAGCCTCTTACAAGTACACGATCGACGAGATACAGTTCATCTTTCAATGCTGCGGCCATTCCTCCTACACAGACTGGTTCCTCTTTGACTGGCAGGTGAATCCACCATTCAAAACGGGTAACTCAATGCACGGTATAACAAGTGTGACAGAATATCTTTCACAATGTAACAGTATCAGCAATGATGTTCCCGCAATCGTAGAGAATAGACTATGCTTCGCGAGAAGAGATGGCTGTTCAAACTCCAATATCCGACGAGGTGTATAGAGATCGAAGTGTCCCATTTAGCTGCTGCAATTTACGTGCAATGAAACCGTGCGAACACACGGAGATGTTGGGAGCCGAGGTGAAAACCATAAATACGAATGGCTGTGTCGAAGTCGTCGCACCTGTTATCTTCAGAATCATCGTCGTCGCTTACGTCATGACAAGCACGTTGGTCATCATCCAGGTCTTCTTAGCCTTTTTAATTACCAAGGTAATCTTAATTTCGCAGTACGAGTTCCTTTCTTATGTTCTAATATGCAAATATTGACGAAGAAGTAGTAAAAAAAAAAAAAGAAAACTGAAACGTATATTTTATATGCATACGATACGCACTTTACTTTCGACAGACACGACGACAGTCTATTTACTTTATGCGACGAAATATTTAGTGACAAAATACAATTTGAGATGCAATTTGAATTTAAGTTGAGTTGCTCGATTTTTTCCTTCAGATCGTACGAAAACTTTTATGCGGAAAGTGTCGCCCGTATCATTTTCCAAAGACCTTCTTCGTCAACGAATCCAGCGCGTCATTGAACACCACGAGGTAAATTAAAAAGAAATTAGTTACATCACTTTTTTAATCTTAATACATCAATAATATTCTTAGAATAAGTTAACATGATACAAATTGATATTCAGAAACAAATATGGCTTAATCCATTTTTACTCTTTCATTTCATATCTCCATTATTTAGTTCAGAAACAGATGGACAAGAGATCAGCTCATCCACCATAAATTGGGAATCGCGATCAAGATCTACGAAGAAACGTGATAAACGTAAACGAAATAACAAACGTATACCATCGAAAAATAAAAGCAACGCGAGGGACAACTCTAATTCTTCCTCGTCGCCATTCGACTCTTCGGCTGGAAGCAAAAACTCCGATCGTGTTTGTAGAATCGTCGATGCTGCTAGAATCAAACCGAGCACCCACGAGGAGCATACAATATCCAAGAAACGATTGCACGATGATGGAACGCGTTGAGCAAACGAGCGACATATCATTCGCGTGTTTATCCGCGTACAAATCGTATCACGTCATAGAAGATGTTTTACGAGCGTTTAAAAAAAGCACGAGCAGGTTAAACACGGGACAAGTACGTGTTCTCTGGAAATTCTCGAGAAAATAGATACGAAAATCGTACTCCCAGAGCATTGCAAAGTAGATTGAGAATCTCGCCGTGAAGCGTAATTTTCTAAGATATTCGAACAAAAGATTGAAAAAAATTTGATGAAAAGACAAAATAAAATTTGCTTGGCGTGTTGGTAGAGAAGCTGATAAGGTTAAAAAATATGCAGGAAAGATTCGCTCGACAAACGAGGTGAGATTTAAACGAGTTGAAAGGAAAAACACGGAGAAAAATGCGATGATAAACGCGATGGAACTGGCGTTAAGATACGGATAGCTACACGTCTTCGACAACAATGAAATACAAATTATAACGATTAGAAGAAGTAAGCGACGACAGCGAAGCAGAACCGTGTGGTGGGGATCGATGAATCTTGCATTTAGTAATACAAGATCGTCCACTGAAGTGCAGTACCATTCAAAGCATTGTGGTGGGCGCATTGGTATAAACTCAAGTTGCACATTCGTATATTCGTATTTTAAACGAAACGCCTAGCAACAGGTTCGTAAAATTCTGTCACGTAGACAGTGATAAAGAAACGTGATAAACGTAAACGAAAAGATAAACGTAAATCCCAAAGATTTTCCATTGCGTAGGATTTTATTTAATTTAATTAGGATTAATTTGATAAAAAAAACACATAAAACATGATATTGTGTGAATTAGGCTTGGAATCTCCTGTGAATCTATAATGAGTCATTAGTGAGAGAAACTGATTGAAAAAGGTGCGATTTTTGAAATTTTTGAAATCAATCTGATAGTCAAATACGTAACGACAGTTCTCAGAATACAAAGAAAAATTCAATCATTATCGATAAAAATTCAATGAAAACTTTATCAAACTTTTCTGAAATGTTTCGGATTTAATATTCGTTTTATTTTAAATCTTAACGTTCGAAGCGTCATATGTTGCCCAGGGCAACAATGCTTCATAATGTAAATGATAATATCGAAACACATGTATTTTACAATATTAAGATGTAAATAAAATTAGAATTATTCGAATAAAAACCAAAAATCCCTCCGTATTAAGTTCGTTTCTGATTCGTGCGAGCGCGCGGATACTGGAGAGCCCCCCACTCTTGCGGTCGGCGAACTTCGTGAGCGTTCGTGAGAATTCGTGCGCGCTTCGGTTCCCATCAGATCCATTCGTTCAACTTCGTTCGCGCTCGGATGAACGGGCGCGCGCGCTCCTTCAGTTGACGAGCGTGCTCGGTTTAGTTGAGTAGCGTCTGCGCATTGGGGAAGACTGTTGCGATTGTTACATTCTTTGTTTAGTAGTCGGTCATCCGCCACTCTGTCGATATCGTAGCATGTGCCCACCAGTTCACAGTCACGTATACGTTTACCTACCGCACCATCAGCCCCACAATAAACTTGTCTCTTACGGCTACCGTTAGGGTTGCCGTAACGCCATATCTGTTTGTATTCCTCCTTTTAGAAAGAAAGAAGAAAAAAAAAAAAAGAAAAACCGGTAACGCCATTCGCGGAGCTTTCGCCCAAAGAATGTCCAAGCTGTAGTTCACAGCCTGAAGAATCTTCATCGGTGTGCACAGTGATAGCATGATTTTTTTTTGGATATTTTAGTGAGTCTGCTCGGAACCGCGGTCCTATTCCGGTGGCTGAGTTTGCACGTGGTGAGTGGTGAGTGGTGAGTGGTCAGTGTACACGCGCGCACTATATGCAACTCACGTATTTTCCGTCCAAGTATACCAGTGGTGCTGCTGCTTGATCGAACGTAAACGGCACGGTCGCGCACGGGTGAGAATATCAACGAGAAAGAAAGGAAGAAGA